ATTCGGCCTTATCACTTCAACACCGCTCCGCGACACTTTTCGCTCGAGAGCCACTTTGATCACAAACTGTGGCCTGCCATTCATTTTGTCAATTGCGCCGCAATATACGACGCAAAATTGGCAAGTGACTTTTTCTTGAATTTTCAACGGTAGACGCTGGAAATATATCCGATCGCCATTTCCCAAGTGCTTCGTCTATTTGACACTCCGCTCGTAAATTGCTGAAACGTCATTCTAAAAAACCCAAGTCCAAAGCGGAAAGTATATTCTCTGCTTCTTTCCTTTTCTTCTGCTTTTCAAACTCTATCGACAACTATCGTGAACGCAGCAGGATATGTTTCATGAAACGGCTACAAGCGTCGTGAACGTTATGGTATAAGCCACTTGCAGATTCGCCAGATTCACCATTGTATGATTTATCAAAGAAGCAACGCGGCTGAGAGAGCAGGTTGCACGACGTTCGTACGGCGGCGGCGGCGGCCGTCGCGCGAAAGATTTCGCGAGATTTTCAAGAAAAATATTCCGCGGCACAGCGAACATGCTTTCGCCGACCGCAAACGCTTTCGTCGCCGCCTTTGTCAACAACTCGTGCTCGCGTGGCGAATTGACGGCGCGACGCCGTCGCGATCGCGACGGCGATCGATTTATGCGTATTACGTCGCACGGACGTCGCGACTCGGAAATATGACGGTTACGGGCGCTTTACAGGCGAATGCCAAATTCGACACGCGCGCAATTATGGTTGCGGTTATTCGATATAGGTGAGCACACTGCGCGGAGTACTCTCTCTCTCTCTCTCTCTCTCTCTCTCTCTCTCTCTCTCTCTCTCTCTCTCTCTCTCTCTCTCTCTCTCTCTCTCTCTCTCTCTCTCTCTCTCTCTCTCTCTCTCTCTCTCTCTCTCTCTCTCTCCCCCTCTCTCTCCCCCTCTCTCTCTCTCTCTCTCTCTCTCTCTCTATCTCTCTCTCTCTCTCTCTCTCTCTGTTTCGTCGGGTATGAATACAGCTTGCGAATTTGCGCTATAAACTTTGAAACATTACACTTGCGGGCACTCGTGGATGCGCGTTGCGGAGGAAAACTCCGCGGCGATATGTTGGATTCGATTTCAAAGCTCTAGAGCAAAATGCAATTGCTGTTCGCGGAAACTACTCTGCCGGTATCGCGGCACGCGCGGACACTTTATACTCCCCGGCTGACATTGTAACGCGCCAGGATAATGGGTTGCGGTATCGCACGAATCAAGAATGAAACGGCGAGGACGTGCGCTCGGCGAAACGTAATTATATCGTTCATGTTCAAAGGAAGGAGGGATAAAGTGTGTGTATCTGTGTCCTACACATATATATATTCATACACATAATGGCATTTTTTCGCTTCTTTATAACAACTTGTATCACCAAAATCAAGCATGATTGCAACTCTGAAAATGTGAATTTTTCGATCTATATTTACCAAACATTTGTTTCGCAGTATAACGAGTACCATCTACCCTGCATGTCTGGAAGTCTTTTTTTGAACACCCTGTATATATATATATATATATATATGTATGTATATATATATATATATATATGTGTGTATATATATGTATGTATGTATGTATGTATGTATGTATGTATATATGTATATATATGTACACACACACACACACACACACACACACACACACTGTTGGTCGGAGCTTAAAATAACAGCTCCAATCGATTTTATTTCACTACCATTTTATCTTCCCGCGTAGAAAGCTCCTCTCGGTTCAACGAGCCGACGGCCGACATTCGCGACGTATATGTGAACGACGCAGATGACGTAGGATTTTTCTCGGGAGTGCGAGTCGAGCTCGGTTTCAGCGCGAAACGTCTTACACGGACGCGGAGAGCTGTAATTAACGCGTCGTTGAATGCCCGTTCCGCAAGGAGAGTAATTAATGGTGCTACAGTCCCTAACCCCTTTTAGGCCGAAGCGAGGCTACGGAAGCTCGGTAATTGTGCCGCCGGACCACCCTGCCGTGAGTAATTAATATGTATTGAACGGAAGACTGAGATCCCCGTCGCTTAACGGCACCCAAAGCTGACGTAAAAGTCCGAGCTTTAATGCAAGAACGTAAAGTTCTTGCGTGAAGCGCGCGAAAGCCTTGAAAGCTGGTCGCATGGGATGTAAGAGTTCTCGAACCAAGGACGCGAGAGATGTGAAAGAGGCCGGAATAAAGATTAAATGAGACCGTACGTGCGAAGCAAGGAAGAAAGAGAGAGAGAGAGAGAGAGAGAGAGAGAGAAAAGTGCGCGAAGAATTTCACCGTTCAACGCCAATGCTCGATTCCATTCATAATCAATTTGATATTTTATTTTATTTGAGGCAAATAATCAGTTTTTCTCTCTTTTTCTCCTTCCCCCTCCCCTCCTCTCTTTCTTTCTCTCATGACACATTCATGAAGAAACATCTCACACGAATGATTCGCCCGAATTTTTGGATTTTTTAATCATCCAGAACGATGCCTCGCAACGATACGCGACGAAACCGGCTTTTCGCCCAACGAGCGAGCGGCGAGTGCAACGCGAACGTTTCAAATTGCACCGCGTTTGCTAACCCATGATTCGGTGGCCCGCGAGCTTTTTCGAAAAAGAAAAATAAACGAACCGGAGAAACAAGCAAGGGCGGCGGGAAAGGGAGTTTTAGAAAGTATTACGCTTCCGCTGAAACTTTCATTCCGCTAAATTACATTTTCATCTCTCGCTGATAACAAGGTTCCCCGCTTTTTTCCCGCCTGAAAGAAACGAGTTACACACGTGTGCGCGCGCGCGCGTTACGGCGCACACGAAAAAAAAGAAAGAGAAATCAATTATACGGCGGCAGACGTCGGATGAAGACGTGACTCGGTTCGATCCGTCCCGGCTCTTGCTCGACTCCGCAGTCGCCCGGCTCGGAAGTCGCATCTCGCGACGTGTGTCTCCCCGGTCGCCGTATTTTCCCCTCGAGTTAAATCGCACCGCTGCCGACAATGGCCACTCGCGAAAACCCGGTTGGTACGTCGGCGGAGAAATCGGAAAATCGCGAGCGGTCTCTCTCTCTCTCTCTCTCTCTCTCTCTCTCTCTCTCTCTCTCGCGGTGCACACCGCTGAATAATACACGACTGGTCGCGCGGCGTGCGGGCGGCGCTCTGCGACACTCCGCGATGTCGCAGCGTCATTACACGGCGGCTTAGGAGCACGTAGCCGATACTTCGCAATCGTTAAGCCACCGATGCGACGGTCTACCTAGCCAGCAGCGGCGGCTTTATTGGATTCGCGGCGTACTTTAGCAGCGACCGTGCGCCGCTGTCGCTATTACTAAGCACGCTTGCGTTACCGCGTTAAGGTACCGGGCCGGTATGCCGCGGCCGCGGAATGAAAATGCCTCTCAAACCCCGAGGGAGGGCGGGGGAATCGTAATGGAAACTCTCTAATGAAACCGGCCAATGTGTTAGCGCGGTTAGGAAACAGCCTGCGGAGCCGAGCGCTCCGCTCGGACCGATCATCCGTCGAAAATTACACGCACGTGCATTGGCACTGAGTAGCTTCTCGCGCAGCCTCCTGACGCGCGTATCCTGACGGAACGACGCGCTCCATCAGTGTGCAAGGCTGCGAGCGGTGTCTGTGGTATACGCAAACGGCGAAATGTAAAAAGGCAAATATAGGGCGCGAGGCCCTGTTCCCGATGACGCTCGCGTCCGTTGCCGTTGTCGTTGCCGTTGCCGACGGTGAGTCGCGGTCGAGCGGTGGCATATGGAGAATTATGCGGGAGTTACCTCATCTACGTTAATGGAGGAGGAGAGGAGCCTTGAGATGCGGCAGCGGGACGTCATGTTACGAACGGCGTATCTCTCCGCATTTGTGGCACGTCCTAAACACCGCGCCGCGGACATAGAGAGAGAGAGAGAGAGAGAGAGAGAGGGGGAGAGAGAGAGAGAGAGAGAGAGAGAGAGAGGGGGGGAGAGAGAGAGAGAGAGAGAGAGAGAGAGAACTCTGGCCTCCCAGCCGACGTCACGTCGCTCGATAATTCAGCATTTATTACGCTATCGTGATACAACGTTCTGCTTATGAATATTCCTTTGTGCGGCAGCCACGGCTCTGTGTATGTTCTCATTAACTCCTTCGATGTGCGTACAGGTATACTACGTGGCCGCATCATACGTAGTGCCACGTTAGCTACTCCTCCCCGTCGGGAGTGTGATTATCATTTTTATTGTATCGGGCCGCGTCGCTCTCGCTCGTTCTTTTTTTCAAATTTGTTTTCGCATTGGACAGCTCCCACGGTGCAGCGTTTCTCAATCTAGTTCGTCATCGTTGATTCCTCGAATTTTGGCGTGCATAATGACCGGTGTGTGTAATTGGTGGCACTTGCGTGTCCATCGACCGATTTCACCGAGGAAATTATACGTCGCAGCTCACGCTTTTTGCACACAGTCTCGTGGGATTTTTGGGTGGTCTCTTGATCGCGTGAAGTTAAATCAAGTCTGCGATCAATAACGTCTGCGGAGATTAGTCATTCCGACGTAAGTCGTTAATAGTACAACACAGACAGACGCGAGATAAGAGACGTTTAGGGACTGCAGTTTAGATTTGCAACAGTCGGGAAAGATAACCGACAAGCGAAATTGCACCGAAAAGTACATTTCCGAGTAAACACTCAGCATTTAAGCGTCCCCGTACGGGGACGTTTGCCGCTCACGCGTAAAGGCGCACTGGAGCTACGGGCACTCGAAATATCGTCACCGGGAGACAAGTGCCGCTTAAATGAAGGAGCATCCCGTTCGTCGCACGTACAATCCGACTGCAGCAATTGAGCGTTAATTTCGTAAAATCGCGCAATCGTCGTCGAGAGAGGAATAGAGAGAGAAAGAGAGAGGGGGAGAGAGAGAGAGAGAGAGAGAGAGAGAGAGAGAGAGAGTAATAAAAAACGAGAGTAGAGTGAGGAAGAGCAACAAAAGAAGAAAGGGAGAAAGAGAGAGAGAGAGAGAGAGAGAGAGAGAGAGAGAAAGAGAGAGAGAGAGAGAGTGTATGTGTTCCGCGGGCGCATACTTAAGGATAATGCATCGCTCGAAATTGCGAGGTACGTTAATCGCGGCCGTTGACGCGGCCGGCTGGAAAACGATGTTAAAACTCGTGGCGCGCGCTCGTTAATTGTATCGAATTTTAGTTCTCGCCCGCTCCGGCGTTTCGTTTCACGGCGGGCGCACTTCGTGCTCGGACCACGAGAGTGATTATAAGCGCGGCGATGTTTCCTGTCGGGTCAAAAGCGCCGGGGCCGTTGACGATGAAATTTCGATCGACGTGACCGATATTGTTCTCGTTACGCGGCGCGGGAGGATCGCAAATAGACGTATGGAAAGCTCGGTCGAATTAACGGGTGAAAATTAGTCAAGCGTTCCCTTTGACCGACCTTTTTGTCCCTTTTGCTCCGTGACGACACACGTTTCCCGTAATTTCTCACGTTATCGTTTTGTGCATCCGTCGAGAGTGGTCCTTCGGGCGCAATTTTTTTGCATTTAATTTATATTTTCGCAGAGACCCGAGAGATTCGCCGATTATGTAAATTGAGTTTTGTAATGCAGTTACACCGGGATGTGGCCCGGACGTTGGTTATTTTATTTACTTTTTGCCAATAACGTTAACGAGCCCATAAAGTATCGGCAAAGCTTCTGACTAAGTGCATGGACATATTAAGTTTTTCTTTCTGACGCGGCATACAAACGAAAAAATGATGTGCATATTTCATTAAAAAAAAAAAAAAAAAAAAACAAAAACCGAGGCAGGAGAAGAAAGAGGAGTAAGCGAACAACACGGTATAATTACCACTACAGAATGATTTCCGAGAAGTAGATTTATAAATGAGATAGCGTGCACTAACTACTCTGCTTAATTAAAATTAAAATAAAAGATCGTATATAGCGTACAATTTCATCAACGGCAGTTAGGAATATTCTGTGTGACCTCTCCTTACGAGAACGATCATGCGACCCGCTGCCATTATCCCTGAAACAAGATATGATTTCTCCCGGGTGTAATTCACTAATTATGCCAGTAACGAAGCCAGTAATTATTAATATTTTGTTAAACGTAGCTTTCATAGTTCAGCGCGCACGCTCGCGCAGGCGAGTGACACCTGCCCGGCTTTCACCCAGAACGGTATTATTATGATTAGCGTCATTGATGTAAGTATATAAGTAAAATGAAACACATTAATTCCCGTGTACTCGCGTCAGCGAATCGTCCGTCGCGTCGTTGCGATATTCTCGTAATAATGGTCCGTCGCTTCGTTTTTCAAAGTTACGCACACACATACACATACACATACACAAACACCCATGTATATATATTATATTATTATCGAAACGCGAACCGCGCGTAACCACGATAAAAGTGTTCTCTTTGTCGAATCGACGTCGCCGGCAGCAATTGTAACGTTACATTCGAGCGGAAACTTGCTGATCGCCGCCGATCGAATCGTTCCGGGCGCAAAGCCGTGACGGTTATCTCGCGCATTATTCCGTCCGAGTGGCCGAAATGGTAATAGTTAATTAATTAACGATTAATCGGTTGCGGTCGCGCGACCGCGCCGCGTTAGAGTGTTTTACAACGAGACGGATAGTAGTTTCGATCACGCGATGAAACGTCCCGGCGTGCCGCCGCGAACGTTCCCGATTACATTCCGCCGCGCACAAAGCTGCAAATCGCTAACTTTGAACGGCCCGCGAAATCAAATTGCATTAATTAACGAATGTAATGAGATTACGGCGAACGCGCCTACCATTATACGACGCGAAAGCGGAAAGTAGCTCGCGGCTCGTTCATTATACGAACTGCAGCAATGTTATGCTTTCGATGGAACTTCCACTACGGTCTATGCCCGTGTCCGCGCAATTAGCGCTAAATGTCGCGGTCTAATTTCCATCTCATGTTTAAATTGGGCGTAACTGAGAGGTCGCCGGGTGAGGGACGAGCGGCGAGGCGGCTTGCGTACATTCATATTAGATTAATAATAAAATCCGAAATGGAGGAGAGAATTATAGTTCGCGCACGTGCGTCGCACTGCGTACGCGCACATGTGCGGCACAACGATGTCTCGAGTGAAATTCGCTCCAAATGAAAACAGAAAAAAGTTATCGGGCGACAGAAGAGCGGCGGCGGCGGCGGCGACGGCGGCGACGGCGGCAGCGAATCGTGTTACTCGCAATGTGAAGTCTCTGGGGTCTCGCGTCTCCAAATTTCCGGCCTTCTCCGGCCTGCGATTCCAAATTGTCCGGTTCGAAGAAGCAAAGATTATCGATCGTAATCACGCGGACTGCTCGATGAATAAAATTTCGGCTGTAAGTGAGTATGCAATCGTCGTACACGGACGTTCGCGCAAATGTTGACAGGAAGATCCCCCGTGTCTCGCCGTGTCCGCGGCAGTTGATGAAATTATCTGGAAAATTATCTCACGCATACAATGCTCTCAACGAACAATACGCGAATATCGCATGATGTGCAGCGCGCTTTCTCTCTCTCTCTCTCTCTCTCTCTCTCTCTCTCTCTCTCTCTCTCTCTCTCTCTCTCTCTCTCTCTCTCTCTCTCTCTCTCTCTCTCTCTCTCTCTCTCTCTCTCTCTCTCTCTCTCTCTCTCTCTCTCCCTCTCTCTCTCTCTCTCTCTCGGAATCTCTCCGGGATGCGTTTAGCGCCGAAGCGAACGAAACGTGAAATGCTCGCGATCCACGCACACTCGAAATTCCTCGATCGTTCCGCAAAAGAGGTCGCCGAGCCTGAAGGCACCGGAAACGCTTTCAGGACGAAACTCGCGCATTCGGAATGACGGAACGGAAAGAGGCGATCCGTGAAACGACCGGAGGACCCTCACCTGCGCCGGAACTCGTTCCGTCCGGAGTACACGCTAAGGGCGTACTCGAGAGTTTGGCTTGCCGTCCCGACTGCCGCGGTTCCGACTTGACTGAGGATCCGACATTAATCGTGCGTAACGACCGAAATTTTTCCCCGGCAGCGTCCCTTTGGCGAGAAAAAAAGGCGCGACAGATCTCCTCTCGCGTTTGACCGAAACCCCTGGAGAGACCTTGCTTCGACGAATCGAGTCGATGTTTTACGGGTTTGTTTCGTTGCGAGCGAGATCGTGGCTCGCTAAATCTTGACTCACAAATCGCCTCGGTTTTCTCAAAGCCTCGGGGATGTGACTCGTAATTGAGAGCGAGTGTTCGAGTGTACGTACACTCGAGTCGTCTAAATTCCGTCAACGTCAAAAGAGTACTTTCCATCAGTTTCGTGAGTCTCGGCTGTGTGTATCGTATAATCTTCGCGCGTTCACTGCAAACCCGAGTGTGTTATTTTGACACGTATAAGCTGAAGCTTTCTCCACGCGTTTTTTGTCGTCCGACGTCACGCCGTTTGATGCTGATTTCGATATCACTTAATGCATTTAAACGCATTAAACGACGTGATTTAAGACGACGAAGATACGCGTAAAGGAAGCTTCAGCTTATACGCGTCAAGATAACACACTCGGGTTTGCAGTGTTATAACGAATACGGAGAAGTTTCTCTATTGAATTTAGATGATATCGTATAATATTAACTAGCTAGACGTAAACTCGGAACAAAATGCAAGCAGCAAGTTTGACAAATCGGCTTTATCATCGGCGCGGATCACAAAGTTCCATTAATCTCTGTTGCCGTGAGCGCGGCTAAATCTCGAGTACGCGCGGCTTAACTTATGTATATATTTATCGAAGAGATACACACGACGGGAATACTTTACGACGCTCTTCCTTCTATCCTCGTGTTAGACGGTCGAGAAACGTCCGAAAGGTTGCCGTCGTCGCAAGTGTTGGACGAAGATTGACGAACCGGCAACGTTAGAAAAGACCGCGGACGAGAAGTGTTACAAAAGCACACAGGTTTAAAAATTGACCCTTTATCGGCCAACGTCTAACAGCGTCTAATCGACGTGAATTTTTCCCAGAAGCGCACGTCGCCGCAGAGCAAGCAGTAGCCGTTATCTTTCGTTCTTCAATGTTCTGAGTTGAGAAATTGCAGTTTCACGAAACAGCAAACGAAAATCCGGTGTCTCCCCTCGCACAGTCTCGCATCTCGACATCTCGATCCCCCGGACGCTTTTGTATACGCGATCAAATAAACGATGCCCATTATTGGATGCACCAAGGAGGACAACTGCAGGAGAGACGCATTTCTGAGATCTAGATTGGCGAATTCCGAACAACGCGCCGCAGGTCTGTCTGGTCGCGCGACTCAGCTTCGCGAAATTCGAGGCAGAGGCATTAATTTTACACGCCGGATATGTAAACGTGACAATGATCTAACAATTATTCCAATACGGGGGGTTGGGGGGAGTTAGGGAAACCACATGAAGAAGGGAGTAAGGGGAGTAATTCGAAAAAGCTCGAGAAGGAGAAGAAGATGAACGAGAAGGAAGAGGAGGTAGCGGCGGTTTTATCCGGCGTCCCCGTGAACCCGGATTCGCCTGGAAATCCCAACGCGCGTCACGCAACCGGAGGTAAACACCTGGGCGAGCGAGCAGCTGCTGCGGAGCCGTCCGCAGTTGCGCAGAAGGATCGCGTCGAGATCCCGCGAACGGCGACGAGCGTTCCCGAGACACTTGTCCAGGCTGGCGGACAAGCCGATGTCCCAGAACCGTCGGTCGGCGGTCGGGAAACGGGATTCGAGAATCAACGGGCACCTCGGGAAATCCCGGACAACGGAGCTCCGTGGGAGCCGAGAGACGATGCGGTCTGAAGGCAGCCCGCCGTCGAGCAGGGCAAAAAGCCGAAAGGAAAATTAACGCTTTAACGCTAACTCGGTATTCTCTCTGCCGCTTCGACGACCTCAGGCGAGCTGAGGCGAGCCGAGGCGAGCGGGACTCCTTAACTCGCCGGATGATCGAGGTTCCCACTTGAGTTTCAAATAACTTACCTTCCTTTTAACCCTTCTCTCCGTTTGCTTATTTGTTTCCCTTCTCTTGTAGCGAGCCACGGAATTACGAGGCGCTCGCGTAATACGGCAAATCCCAACGTAACGATTCGGTCCGCGGCCCCGTACATGCTAATCTCCTAATTAAAACGTGAAGTTAGATTAGACCCCCGGTCTCCTTGTTTTTACTTTTGCTACTCTCCCCCTCCCCCCTCCCCTCCCCACCCCCTCTCTCTCTCTCTCTCTCTCTCTCTCTGTGTGTGTGTGTGTCTGTCTCTCTGTCTCTCTGTCTCTGTTTACTTCGCCATCAGCTCGCGAAAGCCTCTCCTTCGTCTCGCATCAGTGTCGCCTTCGATACTTCCCGGAGGCTGCCGGGGCGTCGTTTTGCTTGCAGCGTGGCCCTAATTACATTCTCGTCGAAAGTCGATTTGATGTACGCAGAGTCGATCCCGGGCGGCCGAGCCCTCGCGAAAACAAGCAGATACGAAAGAAATACCCTCTCCACTTAACGGCGAATTAAAGAAGGAGAAGCGGCGAGTCGCTCGGGTAAATTTGCCAACTACTCGAGTAATTAAGGGCGTCCCAATTGGCGATTCTGGGTCGCTCTCCGTTCCGCTCGAAACGAGCAAGGAGCAGAAAGAAACGATGAGGAACGCATCGACCAAAGTCGCCCTCGCGCCAAAGTCGTCCCGAGTAAACTTCCTCCTCCTGTCTACCGTGCCATTATATCGCGATGAGGAGATCGGAAGCGAGATTCAGTCGAGAGGCGACACGAGACGCTTCGATCGATGCGAGCGTCGCCGGCGAACGGCCCTCGCCGGGAAAAAAGCGCTCGCGCTCTCGGGATGACATCGCGTCCCGCGATTGCCGTCATTGCCGACGACGACGAGGACGACAACGATGACGACGGAGGTAAATCCGAGGCGAGATAACGGCGACAGATCGAAATCTCTTCGTGCTTTTGCGGCTCGTGATCGCGGTCTGTCCGTCGATTGCCTGTCAGATGACTCTGGAAACGCTGCTCGCACAGGCTGCGATCAGGCGCCGAATTCCCAAGCGGGAAACGAGATTCTCCGTGAGGAGTGCCGGCGCGTATCGATCGAATAGATTGCGAAATTTCCCTTTCGAATTAAACACGGGACATATCCCGGGTCGATCGGTGGCAAATAACGAAACTTCGGGAACTGAATGGTGGTCGTGCGTCATCGAGCTACCGAGTCAACGAGAGGATCGACTCGAGGACCATCAGGCTCGGCAATCCGGCGTCGGCGACCGATGGAGTGTCGTCGTAAATTGTCGCGATAACTGGCGACTAGCTAGATTTACGCTGATATTAGAATTGGAGGCGGTAAGAGGGAACGTAGGGAAAGATTCGTCGCTCGAAACGTTCCGTACGTTTCTGCCGACTCGGTCGAGTATCCAGACTGTCGATTCCGAGACGATAAAATCAGAAGTGCCAGATGGCGCGGAAAACTACTCGTTACAAACTGGCGACCATCGAAGAAACTCGAAAGGACGGCACGGCGGAATCAGCCGTCGATGAGAGATCCGAGCGAAGAGACGAAAGTGCGATTCAATTCGCAAACGTCCATTTCGAGAGACTTTGCCGCGATTAAATGTTCTAACGAATCTGACCGTATTTTTCGTGCCCCCTCTTCCTTCCCCCCCTCTCTCTCTCTCTCTCTCTCTCTCTCTCTCTCTCTCTCTCTCTCTCTCTCTCTCTCTCTCTCTCTCTCTCTCTCTCTCTCTCTCTCTCACTCTCTCACTCTCTCTCACGCGGAGAGTGACATTCTCTTTTTTCCAGCGTATAACGCGGACGAAATGCAAACTCAACGTAAATTCTATATTTATAATGCCAAAAGACTCGTGTCGGATCGGTACGATTTACCTGTAAAGTTACATCGAAACGTTAAATACAGAGACCGCGATGCCACCCCTTTCGACGAGGGGTATTTTCTGTTCGCTCGCAGGATACCAAACGGCTGTACGAGTTTACATTGGGGCTACGTTCGCCGCAGTTTTCGCGCTCTACGTTTACACGGTATGCAGCTTGAACGGCCCGCTCGTCCATTTGTACCGTTGTTAACATGCGCTTAATTAACTAATACCGAAATTACGTGTTACATATCTTATGATTCATAGAATTACGTGAATCGAGCATCAAATTATTTAAACGATCTCGAAATGTATAAATTAAACGATGAATCACAAAAGTGGGTAATTAAGTATTATGTCAAAGATTAAATATTCATAATAACATACAAATAAAACTCAAAACGGAGCGCCTCCTTCCCCTCCCCTCCGTAAAATTTGAAATTTCGTTTCTCACGTCGTCGAAACGCCGTGTTTGCATGTACTCTCATCTCGACACTCGCGAAATTTTCATGGCCGCGTTTAGACGTTCGAGAGGTCTATCGTGCTCGAGTATGTAATGTTTGAAGCAGCACCGGCGTGTCTATCGATCTCTCTCGGCGCGTCCCTCCGCGAATCTCTGAATAAAAATGATTTAGTCGAATCGTCGGCCGACATGGCCCACTTCTCAGGAATTAATTAAATTTCTGGGATCCTTTGGCAGTGAGCAACGGCCCCTTAACTCACTCGCTGATATTGTACGCGTATAAAGCATTGAAAGATATTATGTCGCATAAATCTTGCCCGCGCGACATCTGAGCCCGTACGAAATTATGCGCTGGAACGCATCGTGAGCGTTTACGACGGACTTAATGATCGGAATAGTCGCAATGGACGTAATCGCGTTTCCTCGCGGCGAAGATTTATATAGTGCGACGAAATATTAACACAGCGTGTTTGAATAAGGCTGTCAACCTGTCGCTCGATATCATATTCGACATGGGCTGAGTCTCTTCCGCTTTGATGACAAGTGTTAAGATATCTTTACAACCTTTCGCGAAGAGCATCGCCGTAAAACCTGCGTGTAAAAAGCAAGAGGAAAAGGAAAGAGAGAGAGAGAGAGAGAGAGAGAGAGGGAGGAGGAGAGAGAGAGAAGGATCAGCTTCTCGAAGGGTCGTGGGATCGTCCTCTCGCAGATAAAGGATTACTTTACCCGTGTAATACGGAGTGAAGTGATGCGCAGACGTCGGCAGCTCTTTGATTAAAAAGAGCACTGACCTTGCGTCCTCCATTTGCATTTCCATTTGGCAAGATTGCCAGACGAGTACGAGAGAACTGGCGGTTGCCTCGTGTCCTCGCGGTATGTTTATTTTTTACTCACCATATATATATAATATATATAATATTACAGTATATTACGGAATAAAACGACGACGTTGCGAGAGCTTGGCGGAAGTGCGCGTTTTGGGACCCTCCGATCTCATGTCGACCCAATTCGCATTCCTCGCGCAATTTCTGTATGCGCAATATGCGTTTCACATATTGCGCGCCCATACGCCGATAGAAGATCGCAGATTCCTAACGCTTAGGCGAAAGCAAAGGGTGAAAAACAATCAAGAGGGCGGATATCACACGGGATAATTTTTCGCGCGTCGATCGCATAACAGGACAACGCGAACACGTTGCGTCGGATTTATTCCCGATTTTTCTATTTTAATTAGCGAAGGTATATAAAAATCGTGAATGCAGACCGGCTTGAATTCTCGTTCGCCGATATTCGATGCTTTTTTTTTTTTTTATTTTCCTGATCGAACGAATGTCGGGGGATTGAAAAACTATCGCGCTCCGTCGGCGTACGCGCGTTTCACCACGGCCTCGCGGCGAACTAGCGATGCGGCGAAATAGATGGCACATTTGGATTTGAAATTACCACTTAGGCTCTCGGCGGATTCGGTTAAATTGCAATTTCTGCCGGGACCTGCTTTCCTGAGTTATTAGATTACAGCGTCTACGACGTCGTATTCGTGTAAATATACGTTCGCCGGTTTCTCAATACCTGATCAAGTTCCTCGACTCGCGAGAAATAACGCAGGTTCGCTTGCTTCTCTCTTCTCTTGCACGTATCTCTTGCGTGAGTTGTTATTCGCTGCGAATAATCGAAACATTCCGCAAACTTTCGATCTTGATAATTGGCGAAGCGTTATTATTCTCTCGCGTATGTTTCTCTCTTGAATGAGGCAGAGTTGAAATCTCAGTAAATTTAGTCCAACTCGAAGGATCGAATGAAGAACTCGGAGATACAACACGATACAGGCTATTGTCTTTTAGCGTTACAGATTGTCACTTTTATCGCCGTTTTACTGAGACTTAAAGCAGAACTCGTTTAAGAATTATTTCATATTTTATCGTTCCAATAATCCAGGATTAACCTCTCTGCTTCTTTCTTCCTCTTTCTCCTTCTCTCTCTCTCTCTCTCTCTCTCTCTCTCTCTCTCTCTCTCTCTCTCTCTCTGAATCGTTTGAATTTTTAACCGTGTTTGCCGTGCTTTAGCGGCGAAATTCGTACACCCTTCGGCTACAATTAATTCAAATTGTGCGTAAGGTTATACCGAATTATTGCAAATAAAGGGCTTATCGGTTTGCCGGATAAACTGCACGTTCCACGTAATGACGCGCGGGCCGAACAATGAAAAGCATTCAGATGAAATTCGAACGGGGGACTTTTTACGAGCAGATAAACGCTTTACGTCCCGCCATAAGCAGAATTCAGGACGAAATGTGTGCGCTAAGCGCGCTGATATTTTATTACGCTGCATCGATCGATACTCGCATTACGCAGCCTCGATGTGATCCTATCTTTATGTCGCATCGGTTGTTTCGAACTAAATCGTTTCAAAGAGATACCTCCCGCCGTCGTAATCGAGCGCTTCCCGGATATAGTTCGCCGTCGACGTGCGACATCGTGCTTGAACAAGATCAATGCATAAACAATACGTACAGACGTGTGTATAGATCGCAGGAAATCTTGCGTCTCTAATTTTCCGTCTTTAATCGCGAGACTACATCCGTCGATGTATCCTCGCTCGAGGTGCATTTTGATCCGCTAATCCACCACGGCATCTGTCATTAAAACGGCAACATTTCAAATTCACTTTGGTCCAATATTTTTCGATTGTCCATGTAAATATTCATCACGACCACGCGCGCAGACGTGCGCGTAAAAATCTCTATTTACATTTCCACGTTCCTACACGTGTGTGTACTTGACTCGTGAGTAGGGTGACTATATCCCAGTCATAAAAAAAGAGTAAAAGGCGGGTAAAAAAAAAGAGAGTATAAAAGAGTACT